AAAAATGTTAATAAAGTCAAAAGATCAAAAAGATCATTTTAATATCAAAAAAAAAATTAAAAAACAGTTTATTGTAACATAGGTATAATTTTTAAATTTTATTGTAGGTGAGATTTGAACACTAAACCTGCTACTTGAAAAGTAACAATCTGCTTATTATACTAGAATTACCATCTTTTTTAAACAAAATTATTTTATATTATAATATAATATATTTTAATATAAAATTTTAAAAACTTGGTTTTAATAATAATTTTAATTTTAAATTTAAGTTTTAAAAATAAAAAGATATGTAAATTATTTTTTATATAATTTTATATAATATTTTAGAATTTATATAAAATTAATATATATTATTAATAAATTTTTTTTAAATTACAACTAATTTTTATTAAAATTTTATAAAATATAAAATAAACCAATTTATTTATTATAGTAAAATTTTGAACTATTATATATTTTTTAAAAAATATACTTGCATATATTACAAAGTTTTTTTAAGTTAACTTAAAATTTTCTGAGTTGCATAAATCACTAATTCGGATTGATCAATTTATATAAATTCATAAATTAGTTTGATTAATAAATTTTATACTTAATTTTTAAAAATTTATATCTTAGGTTATTAATAAATTTTAATAGTTTTACTATCATTAGAATCAGAAAAATCTGTTTTACAAACGTTTCTTATGAATTAAAATTAGTTTACTTAATATAATTTTTTATAAAATTAAATATAAAAAAAAATTACCATTATAATTTGAAATAGTACCTCCCTACCCTTAAAATATAGTAAACTAAGATGTACGTAGTGTTGTACTATTGGCGTACATTAATGTTATTTGTTTCAATTTAGCCACTATCATTTTTTTTTAGAAAAATGAATTGCCGAATGATTATATGAAAATCATAAAGCTATTACAACGAAAAATAGACAGATTAAATTTCATATACATGTGAAATTCTAGCTGCATGTATAATACATACATAAAATATAAATCTTTAGTCCTAAAGTAATAAGAATTTCCTTATTTTCAGTAATTAAAATTTTTATTAAAAAAAAAAAAGTTTATTAACGACAACTTTTCTAAAAACACGTTCTCTAAATAGAAATTCTTTTAAAAATACAGGTTTTTTTTTTTATTACATGATCATGCAACGACTTATGTAATATTTGAATTTATGCTTTGAATTCAAAATTGATTTTGAATATATATGTGTATACGTATATATATATTTTTTATATATATTTTGATTAAATAATAAATTTGTTTTAATAGCATTCTTATTAAAATTTTTGATAATAAATATTAATATTATTTCAAGTATTAATAAAAAAAGATATATATTAATACGTACGTACGTATATATATCAATATATAAAAATATACATAATATGTATTTATATATAGAAACCTATACTATTATTGTCCAACAAAAAAGATTAAATAATGCACGCACCATATAAACAAAACAAAACGTTTTATAACACGACATGATGCAAGAGGCGTTGATGTATAAAATTGGAGGACTTTACCGATAGGACCCGACGGTAACCCATTCATCAAATTTTTTTAACATTTAACGTTAATATGCACTACATATGAAAAATTGTATATGAAATTTAAAGAAATATTATTGGCTTATAAATCTTATTGATAAATAAAAGTGTCAAAGCTAAACATTTAGTATATACACAATGAAGAATCGCCAAATAAAAGCCAAGTGAAACATTACACATGTAAATGACTTAACCACATTCCAATTTTTACATAAACCGTAATTATGTAACGGTAAGAAAGTCAGTAATGAAAATGACTCATTAAATCTCATTAAATCTCATTAATTGGCTGTGTAGATATTAATGATTAGGTCAGGTGAAGGTCATCTGGTTCAAAACCACGAGAACGACATTTGAAAATCGAGTATTTATACAGGTAAAACATTGTTTTTTTTCGACCGTTGATAGGTTATTTCGTAATAATGTCTAATAATGACAAGATTTGTAGGTCATAGAAAAGCAGTTTTTTTATGGGGCAAAGATCAATTACACGATATCAGTAGTATCGACAATTCTTGATTTCTAGACTCTTTTTGTATTCGTAATAAAATTGAATTTAACCATTTGTACATTTGAATAGGTGAGAGTTTTAATAGTAAATTTCATATTTAGTATTAAACAATTTCACCTAATATATCTCTTTATAATCCTTTGTAGTTATAATTTTGGTGATCACATGTGAATAGAAAAACAAAGCTTTGTTCTACAAAAAATAACCATCATAATATAAGTACATACGTACCAATAATTGGGCCACCATGATGGTAAGAATTAGCAATATTAGTGTATATAAAAAAAGAAAAGCCAACAGATCATTTACATGACCAGACAGGGATTGTAAATCGCATGCAAACATTCACCAGGAACTCTTCATCAAGTAAATCTCATCGCATGACCTGAGCCAGTGTAAATCTGTTTTTTTTTTGTAAATTAATGAACATTAATTTTTCCCACAAAAGATAGATACGCGTCACAATCTATAATATCAAATTTCAAGAAAAACGCGAAATTATAATTTTCATATTGTGGAGATGTGAATCGTGTCTGAGCACATATGAAAACTACACATAAGACTGATATTCCGGTGTGGGGTAAAGACTATCATTATACCAAGATTGACCCTGGACAATCATATTTAATATGTCTGATATGAGATCATAAAATTTCTTTCGTTTTCGTTGGGAATGATGGAAAGTTCTAGTTTCCGGAGCGACATAGCCAACCAGAAAACATTATAGTTAAATTTAACGGTATTGTTTATAATGGTTACCTTATTCGTTATGAATTTAATTTTTTTGTAATTAAAATACAAAAATATACTTAATATCATAATACTTCATAATAATGTGATGAGTTAGATTATCTTTGTGTAGAGATTTTCGGCGGGAAATTGATCCCGGAAGTTGGTAAAAAGCGTGATTCAATAAATTAGTATCTTTTAACAGTAAATTATTACCAGAAATTACGTAACTAGACGGCAAAAAAAACGCCACAAACAAGGTACGAAAGGTTAGTTTTGAAAACTTTCTCAGAGACCAATTAAACATGCTTCATTTGTTTAAATTCAAATGTTCCTTGTTGTGTGATTCTATTTAAGCTACGTAAAAAGTTTGTAACGCTATTTGTGGAAAGATTTGACTAATTCTTTTATGAATGAAATTTAATCATAACTAGTATAACCAATGAACTAAACACGTTCTTAGGTATAACTTATATTGGCTTATATTCTTCCCAATAATGTTAAATTTCATTCCTAAAAGGAGTGCGCACAAAGGTTAACCAAAGATCGCACAACAGCTAACAATTTGTTAAAAGAAATAAACAAATGATTAAAAATGCTCGAGATTAAATAATGATCAACTTTAGATGAAGATAAGACCATCTAGTGTTGTCTAGTGTCGTATAACGGCGTAATTGTAATTATAATCATCAAATTATCAGTTAAAGATAAGAGAAAAAAACCAATAATTACCGTTAATATCGATAAATAAATGAACGTTTATTGCACGGTTAGTTAAGCAACAGTTGATTTGATTGGTCAGAATAATACTAAGACCTAAATCGGTACGTATATGCATACACCAGTACCTTTTTTTTTTTTATAGAACACATGTTAAAAATTACAATTGAATCATATCGATATATATAACTTTTCATATCGATAATATCAAAGATCATATCAATAATATCAATGATATCAGATATATATCGGTCCGATAATAAGAAAACCCAACCAATAATAACCAATAATAACCAATAATAACCAATAATAACCAAATAATAACCAATAATAACCAATGATCAATAAATTGATCATATAAAAAATTGATTATAAGAAAGATTTATTGTATATATGAAATTGAGCCCAAGTTATCAAAGTCTACTGTGCATAATGATGATCACTAGTAGTTATTTATTCTTAACAAAGAAAGATGCACAATGACTAACAGTTGCATTTATCAAATTTGAAACATACGAAACACGGGATTACATATCCTCGAAATCATTAAAATCCTAAATTGGGATTATTTTTTTACGCAGTGTCATGATAAGAGGATAATTGTCATACAACACTTACTATACATACGTACTATACATATGTACTATACATTCATATGTACTATACATTCATATGTACTATACATACATATGTACTATACATATGTACTATACACAACACTTATATATATGTATTTTACAGTATTTACGTACGTAGTAACTTCCTATTTGCACAAGTGATCTTCAGTGCATTAAAAAAACCTCAAAATTAAAAATTAAAAGGTAAATGTTCTTCCGATGTTTAATTACTGTTATCGTGTTGAAATAAGTTGGTTATTATATATATAAATTTCCTTTTCTTAAATGATTTTATATTACATACATTATATTACACTAGATAATCTCCTGCTTTTGTGCATTTATAGCATTAACATTTCCTATTTATGAAATATCTCAAGTGAAAATATTAATGAAACCATAAGTCTATGATTATCGCGTTCTTTAGTCTAGGTAAGTACGTAATCGTAATAACATCTAAATTCGGTCATTATCTTCACACTAAACAATTTTTACTTACAACATAAATAATCAATTTATGGCTTATCAATTCATTTTTTTTTTTATAGTCAATTTACAATAACCAATATAAAAAACTGCGTTATGTCATGCCTGTCAGATATAAACAGGATTCGATTATCATCAGTACCATATACCAAACTGTTTAACTGTTCAGAAATATAAATACCACATAAATCTGGCTCTCGAAAAAAAATTGTATTTTTCGCAATTTTTTTGACAGTATCTTATAGATAGAAAATATATATATAAATTCACAAATCTATATATATAAAAAAATTCAGAAATATATATATATAAATAATATATATACGCACCATAAACCCATAAACTTTATTCTATCTTTTCTTTTCTTTTTTCAATAATGTCTTTCTATTCTCAGTGGTACGAACAAAATGTTTGCCTTCGCGGTAACAGCAGTAATGGAGATGTGGATGGTTCTATTCGTCCAACATTATCAAGAGCAGGAAGCTTTGAAGCAGTCCAAGCTGATTTGACTGCCGCTCACGTCACTGTTTCTTCAATTAAAAACAGACTAGTTTATAACATTGAATATAAACGCAAAGAAGGTTCAACCAAATCACCCTCCCATTCAAAGCAAAGTTCTAGTGTGAGAAAACTTCATACCAGGGAAAATAGCGTTTCTTCTACAAATCTTAGGACATCCTCACCACATGTTGGTGCTGCTGCTTGTAGTGTAGTTGCTAGATTTCAAAATAACCACTCTAGACGTCACACCCGTCAAGGAAGTTCCGTATCTGAAAATTTAATTACCACTGGTCAAATTTCATCAGATTCTTTATGGGATGATTGGATCGTAAAATATATTAATGAAGATAAAAAGGCCACAGTCGTCGAAGATGATAATATGGATGACTGGGTATATATTATTATATATTCGCTTTATATTACAAAATATTTTTTATATTAAATTGTTTTAACTAATTATTATTTTTATTCTTTAGATATTCGAAAGAATGTAAACAACAAGTTTCTCATCTTTGCCAAATAATCTGGTATTCTTTGGCATTTCTTAAATAAAAAAACACATATTACACTTGTATATTTTTTGATTTGTACTATACTTTTTAGATAATTTTATTTTCATACATTTAAACTACTCGACTTTTATCGTAAACTTTTCTTAATCACAAACACAAACACAAACACAAAAATATTTCATTTAATTGAATGTATTCCTTCCTTTTCGTAATTTTTTTTCTCTATGCTTATTTTAACACTATATAAGAATCATACGATTATGGTGATTAGAATAGCTAGAATTTCTTGTCTCACGTGATGACATCATCACCTTATAATAAAAATAATACTCGAGAATAATACACCTTTTAGATAATATATGCACACCTATTTCTACCTATACAGATAGAAACATAAGCTGTACCTTTTGCATCATAAATTATACTTCATGAATACATATACATCATGTGTTGTTATCAACAATAAGATTTTATTCATTTTATCGCATTATTGCATTCACTTGCATATTTTTGTTTTCTATCTTCGAATTACCCCAAGTTTGTTCATTTTCTATCTTGGGTATCTTTTAATTTTATTTATATAGATCATTAATTTCATTTGTAAATTTTTTTTAATTAGTATAATTTGGTCTCTCTGTACATAAAAAAAACTATGTTCATTTTGTCTAATAAAAACCCTGCATTTTATATTCAATAATAATTAAAGTTCTTATAATGTCTGCTAAAGTTCTCTAATTATAACCACGTAAAGTTTATGTCAGTTAAAGTTTTTGAAATAAAAAATAAACTTATAGTTTCATAACACAACATTCATAACTTTCATGATATCTTTTACAGTATCATATCTTTTATGATATCTTTTACAATATAATTTTCATGATATCTTTTACAATTTTCATAATTTTCATGATATCTTTTACAATATAATTTTCATGATATCTTTCATGATATCTTTTACAATATAGGTTCATAAAAAAAAACCACGCTAATCGAATGATACATTAATGAACACATTTAGATGTGGTAACTCAAAGAAGGAATTCCCAGCATAATTTTAAATGATCTTTCGGTGCATTACGCCTTTCATTTACGTAATTGATTATTTGTAAAGTGGTTTATTTGGTACACTATCGGTAATTTACAGAGGCTAATTCTCTTGGATCTTTACTTTAGTCATTGATAATACGAAATATTTTATGCTAAAGACTATCACGAACCAATCCCCTTTAAAACGGTTCATCAATTTAAAATCGTGTGAGGTCGTGTGCTATTTGTTTTGACCAACTTACCTCTAGTTAATTAGTAAATAACAAACATCATTGATGAATATGGTTGGTTGTATGAGTCCGAACAATGAACTTAATGACGTTGAATTAAAAATTTAATAACTCTTAATTGGATAAAAGATTCTTTTGGCGTAAGAATACAAGTTACTTTTTCTGGTGCTCCTTTTTTTTCCGTTAGATATGATTCTTGTATCTCCATCGAGACTGTAAATTGGGTCTTATTGAAGTTTCACAATTTTAAAATCCGCTTCATGCCGACCAACAAGTCTTACCTTTTTAGTTATCTTTCGGAGTCGGCGTTTGTTTACTGCGACCATTATTATGATAAAGGTGAGTATGCACATTTGATAAATATTTTTTTGGTGTTACTTTCATTCAACCTATATTCAACCTATATAAAATATATACATATTTTAATCATTTAATTTAAAAGTATATAACGATAATATTCTCTTTCTATGTATGCACATGCAATTACTTCTTTGATTATATGACAAACTGTTTGTCCTGTTACATAAGTTACCAATGTAGTAACTGGAGATTATTTATATATGTATAATTTTTTTATATAATATATATCTTACAGTATTAAATATATTTATATTTATATTTATTTATTTAAAATGGTAAGTAATGGATATTTGAAAAAGTAATGCTGAGTAAAAAAAAAAAAAAAAAAAAAAAAGTAAAATACTAATTCCAACACTAAAGCCTAATTTTAACTTTAAAAATTTGTGATACCATTTTTCTATAAACCTTATTATTATAAAAATCATTTATCAAGTGAATTTTCACCTTTTTGAATTCTAAATAAATTCTCATCGAAATTTTAATTCCTATTTTATTAACTGATTTTAATACTGTTGTACGTACTAGTAAACTAAACCTCATGTTTTACAAACTGTGAATCCTGCATATATGCATTAAACGTTTAATTTTCCAATAATGGTATAAGTGATTAATTTATAAAGCTTTATTTTATTTATTTATCGTTATACACGTATATATATGCATACTTCAATCAAACCTGAGTTTTCTATAAATTTGGTACGGAAAGAATAGGAATAACGTGGCACGACTATGTTAGTCATAAAATGCTCAAGCTGTGTGGTCGGTCATATGACATTATCTATTTATCTATTGACATATTGACATATTGACACTTGAGGCTTATGAATCTTATCGTTATAACTTATCTATCATAATAATAATATTGTAATATGAAACATGTGTATTCTTTTATTTCATTGTTATAGTATTGTTATAAATTTTCACAAAATCATACATACATGTTTCGTCAAGAAAATTGAAATGTGCCTTTCAAAATATGTTTGGTGAAACCAGTTTGTCAATTAGCCCATACAGAATTAATAATTTAGTTTTCATAACCTGGTCGAGCAAGTTTGAAATTTTGAAAAAGATTCTTTTTTTTTATAGTAATTGAGTAGATTCAAAAAAGCCACCAAGACGGATCTGTTTTAAAAGCTTATGAAAAATCAAGTAATTAACTCTGTATGGTCTTATTGTAAAAAAAAAAAATCATACATAATTATAATAATTATAGTATATTATAGTCAAATCAAATAATTATTCTAAATAAAAAAAAAATAGTGCTTTATACGTGTATCAAACACGAGATATTTCAAATTCTGTTATTATTGATTTTTTTTTTTTTAAAAAAAAATAGTTTTAGTATACATAATAAATTAAATATATTATTATATATAAATCAAAAGATTAGAGAATGTTAAAAAATATTTAAATTATAAATTTTTATAATCTACGTATCCGATTAAACTTAATGATAAAAATAATATCTTTAACAATTTCTTAGATATATATATAGATAATTTTTATTAATAACTAAACCACTTACTAACTAGTACGTACATTATTAGACAATAAGATAGATAATGAATAATATAAATGAATTAAAATTATCAATCAACTATTAATATGGATAATACACACTCATGATGGGTTAGTATCTTTATAGCTTTTAAAAATTTGTCGAATATCCCTATCGCTATATTCTGAGAAAATATTAAAAAAAAATTAAACTGTAAATATTATTGTTTGAAACGTTATTTTTAGATTAAACAAGTCTTTTTCTTAAAAAAAAAAACACCTATCATTATCGTTATTAGCCAAGATACAATTTACCTTGCTGATCACAGACCTATAAGATGCTCCCGTCACTAACTTCTGGATAATCCTCTGTTCTTTGGATTATTTTTACTGTAAATAAAATAAAAGTCTTAGTTTCTGAATATGTATCCATTTTCGTTTGACAATTCATTTTCATGGCAGATAATTCAGACAATATATGCAATGTTATATGCAATGTTATATGTAATGATATGCCGCGATACTGTGAGTACAGATTATAATTTCGAGTGTTATAAACTAATTGCCCGAATTTAGTATAGATATTATATAGTATATATATAATATATAAATATTTGCACAATATCTATGAGATAACTACGAGAAAACTATAGGATTTTTTTTCATCGTTATACATTATCAGAAAAAAATTTTATTATTATGTATAACATAACGATAAGCCTTTACAAATTTTAAACTACGTATCATTATCATTATTATCAACTCTTTGAAATTGTCATACGTATTCACATTATCTATATGGACGCTGTTCAATAGAAAAGGGGGGAAATCTCCTTTTTAGATCCGGTTAAATTGACCAGATTTAAAAAGGAGATCTCCTCCTTTTCTATTGCACAGCGTCCATATGTCGTGCGATTTATCTGGAGTTGATGTCTGAAGTAGCATCTGACTAGAATTAAACCCTTGAAATTAGATTTTTGTGCATGTAATTCTAGTTAAGTGCTACTTTAGATATCTAAATTGGCAACTTCAGATACGATACGACATATATATTCCATCATCAGCAGAGCAAATAATTTCACAGAAGGTAGGGATTTATTAATGGTTAAATATTACTTTCGAATTCGTTCGAAAAATCAATATAAAATTGGTTAAATTTCGATGTGATTCGTAATAGGAAATTTTTTTAAAGTGATAGGTAACGATTAGCAATCGGTTTATTGATTACTATCGATGAAAAATAATCGATTATAATCGGTAGAGGAGTTATAAATCGATTAGTAACCATATCAATTTTAATCGATAATAAATATATATCGATTACTATCGATTTTATTATTAGTTATTACAAACATTATTAATCGGTATAAGCGTTATCGTTATATATCGATTATAATCATCCAGATTAGTATCGCTACCTATCACTTTAAAAAAGTTCCCTGATATATATTAAATCTTTTAGTGTTATGAATAAAATAATAATTCGTTTAAATGATGAGAATTAAATCCATGAAAAAGTTACTTGAATGATCCTTTTTGAATACTTAATTAATGACAAATATAGAAAAATGATGGTTTACAGTAAAAAGTTTGTAAATTGAAATTGAAATGACAAATTCACTTACCATTTTTTTTTTTTTTTTTTTTACTAATGAAATTATTTTATTCAAGTAATAAAACCTTATCAAATTACAATTATCATTTCACAATGACAATCTCACTTATTTTCCGCTATGTAATTTTCATCAACACTTTTTGACCCATTGATTATCACAGACGGAATCGACGGTTTATCACCGCAGAAAATCATTGTCCCTGCCTATAATATGACGATACCCTATTGTATAA